AGTTAACGCGGCTGCAGGCGCGGGTTAGAAAAATTGCCATTAACCGGCGCTGCAGCGCCGAATAGGGTTTGCCGATAAGGGATGTCATTTTTTTTAACACAATAAGGAATGCCATTACTTTTTCTAGGACGTTCCACTCCCTAATCCATCCAGCCCAAGCAACACCGAGCATGTTTGTCTTTTGAGCCGGTGCGTGTCCAATATGGAGCGGGCTGTTTTTAGAAACAGAAGAAAAAAAACCTACACACTAGAACAGATAAATGGGCCAGATCACAGTTATTGCGGCTGCAGGAGCTGGTTAGGAATGTTGCCTTTAACCGGTGCCTGCAACGCCGAATAGGGTTTGCCCGAAATCATTAATTAAGGAGTATTCGTTGCAAAGATCTCGCCAATTTTCCTAGTTGTAACAAGTGATGCACATGCAGCGCGCCACTTGTCGCAACCTAGGAGTTTTCCCTTTTTTCGTAGATCCGTTTATTCAAAACGTTTTATCTCTGAAACCGTGCGTCCAAATCTCGAACCGCTTTTACTATTGAATTATTCGCGTCGAGATTTTCAAAACTAAATTCCATGTTGATAGGTTTTGATGAATTTTTTTAACGAAAAAAGCGGATGAAAAAAATCAAACGAAAAAACCAAGCCGGGAGCACGGGTTTTTTCCCTTTTCGAAAAAGGCACGCCCGTGCCTCTCGTAAAAGTAAAACTGCGACTCTCGTGGAAAAAAAGAAAACACGTTTTTTTCCGTTTCTGAGGAGGCATGGCCGCGACTCTCGTGAAAGCACAACCATAACTCTTGCGGAAGCAAAACCGTGACTCTCGCGAAAGGAAAAAATATATTAAAAAACACGTTTTTTTCCTTTTCGAGAGGCACAGCCGTGACTCTCGCGAAAGCAGAACCGTGACTCTCACAAAAGAAAAAAAAATAGAAAACGTGTTTTTTTTCGTTTCCGAGAGACACGGCCGTGACTCTCGCGAAAGCACACCCGTGCCTCTCGAGGAAGCAAAACTGCGACTCTCGCGAAAGAAAAAAAAATAGAAAATGTGTTTTTTTCGTTTTTGAGAGGCACGGCCGTGACTCTTGCAAAAGCAAAATCGTGCCTCTCGCGGAAGCAAAATCGTGACTCTCATGAAAGGAAAAAAAAAGAAAACGCGTTTTTTCGCGCAATTTTTTTTATTGAAAAGCTAAGAAAGACCGGTGAAAAACCAAAACGTCGAAAAACCCCAAAAAACCGTTTAAAAGGCCAAAAACGCGTGCGGAAAAATAGAAAAAACAAAATCCGAAGGGAGCGCCCAGAGTGCGACATGTGACGAATGGCTGAGAGCGCGCCAAGTGGCGTTGATCGTTGCGAGGCTCCGGAAGGAGTGCTCGTTAACTAGTTGGTCCCGGGTTTGCCGATAAGGAATATCATTACTTTTTCAAGGACGTTCCACTCCCTAATCCATCCAGCCCAAGCAACATCGAGCCTGTTTGTCTTTTGGGCCGGTGCGTGTCCAATATGGAGCGGGCTGGACCCGATCCTTCCACCACAAAAAAAACATTTTCCTTCTCGCCAATTTTTTTTCTTCACCCACCCGAGGACCCGAGATCTACGGCTCTGGACGCTGCTGTGGCAGGCGCGGGAGGAGACGCATGCGTCTTCCCAGCCCCACCCACAATCACACGGCCACACGCGAAACAAACGAGACCAGACCGAACCAACCCAACCCAAAAGCACAGCCAGGCGACGCAAGCCAGCCGCAAGC